ATTATATATAAACTTTTAAAATATGTATTTCCAGTGAAAGGAACCGGATTGGTAAACAAGCACAAGCTTATGTGAATACCGCTCAATGTACAATGTGAATGCTATATACATGTTGTAAAAACGAGAATAACGCCAATCATTTTTAAACAGTATATGCCATATAAACAAATTATTTTGGATGAAATCATTACATATCAAATATATAAATATTAACATATCAAGTTTCAATCTGTGAATCTTATAGAGGGATATTGTAAAGTTGGTACTTATTGGTGATCCGAAACCACATGTGATATAAAATGCAAATATTTCCTTTCGTTTTGTAATCCTATTGCCCCGATAACCTCTTTGCAAACCCTGGGTAAAAGAGAATATAAAGAAAAATGAATTATGCATGCATATGACAGCATAGGCACACATAATTATGCAACGTGACTTTTTGCTCTCGCTAGTGAATTTCATCGCAGCCTTCATGGACTTCTACTGTCAACTAAACAAAGATTATTAATATCTGAGATTATTGTTCCGTGAATGTATTTCATATGGTCAAATTGAATACATACCTACGGTCATGGTATTTCGCTTTCACATGTATTCTAACATTAACATATTCTAACACATTAAATGTCGTTTATGTCAAAACATATTTTCTTGAAGATGACACGTTATTAACATCAGATAATATTTCAAAATGGTGTTATTCCTCATGAACCAGTGGAAATATTTTGGTATATGTCTCGAGAAGGTCGAAGGTCAAGGTCACAACTAAACCCCACCCATCTGTTTGTTTCGCTTTCTCAAATTGAAGTAAAGCTGTCATCAGTTTTTACCTTCTTGCTACTTTGCCAGCTGCTTCCAGTTGAATCAGTCAATACCTTTCGTAGCTTTCTTGACTTTATCCACACCCTACCTCTAAAGGACATTCTGATATTTGCCTCAAAACGAGAGAGATTTTAGGACAGAGTTGATCTTACAACAGAATGTTTCACTGCTCTCCACGAATTAATGTTGGAAGCTGAGCGTCAAATGTTATCAATGTGGATTTCCAATTTCATATTCTAACAGAAAATCCAGCTGCAGATGTCTGTGTAACGGTAGAGGCGTGGTGTTGTTAAGCGATGGTAGTATGAATATCTGTAGTATAAATATCTGGATGCATTGGCTGCAATGAGCAAGCGATATTAACGTGTTTTTTTGTCCGGGTTTATCATGACCAGCCAAGTTGAATCATTGAGAAATCACTTTTTAACCAGTTCTCGACGATTTGTATGTCAAGAGATGATGTCCCAATATGAGGATTTTGTCGCTAAAGATCATTAGCAAGATCGCTCATGTACAAGAAGGGACTTCTTCTTCTGTCATTTTAAACTCTAGTATAAGCCATTTAACCATACCAATATGTTACACGCCACACCGTAGTGTTCTGGAGATTGACGATGTGGGTGTGGAGTTACCTGAAGAATCTGTATATCCTATAATGAATTTTGATAATTTCCAGTAGTCGACACTGATTTTGTTGACATGTGGTCCCGAAGCATGGCCACCTGTAAAGCCATGAAACTTCAAATGCAGTCATCATTCACATGACATGTTGTGTCTGTTAGAGGCCAAGGTCGTTCGTCCGTGAAGTGATGTAAACTGTTGTCTTCCAGTAACTGTTCCTCACGTCCTGGATACGAGACCTGTTGCAAACAACTGTTACGTTGTCGGCAGGAGTTATCTTGATGTAGGTGTGGTCTGTCTCTACTTGAAATGATTAATGGCGTGGGGGAGGTCTTGGGAGCTTAGTTTCTGCTATTGGAAGTACTTGAAAACAATGCTGGTTAATACTCTAGGTGCGTGGGCCCGGAGAGCGGAAGGTCGCGGGTTCGGTCCCCGACCGCGTCATACAAAACGACGTTAAAATATAGTACTTGTTGGTCCCTGTCTGGCGCTCGGCATTAATGGGTACAACAAGGACTGGTTGGCTCGGAGTCAGTATAATGTGGGTGATTGGGGTATTCATGGTATCTCGTGGGCTAGCATCTCAAAACCAGCTTCAGTCTGGGCTAAAACTATAGCCGCACATACACATACACACGCATGCACGTCGTCATATGAGCGAAATATTCTCAAGCACGACGTTAAACCCAATTTCACCTCACCTAATACTCTAGGTCTGATAGATTACGAAGTGATTTCATGTTTCAATGGTAATGAACTCTCATTTTGGGGTATTTCCTTATGGTTGTTGAAAGGGTGGAGAAGTAATTGGTCTTCTATGTGATTTTGGTCCTTTGGACTTCAGAAGACATATTTTCAGGTCGCATTACAATAACCCTTAAGTGTAACTACAAGAACATATTGTGTAGCAACATACTTCGTCTTTGCTTGAGGATAAATGTGACGGTGTAAATAAGTCCAAAAGGTAAACATTATGAACAACATAACATGATTGCACAAACATTGCAAAGTTAAAAATGCAAAACAGAATTATATATCCATGGTAATCCCAGTAGTTGCAATAGTTTGGTTGTGTTCATATATCGTTGATATATCCGTGTTGTGTCCATATATCGTTAACAAAGTCCAGCCTGTGCTAATATATCATTGTTGTGTCCATCTATCGTTGAAAGGTCCAGCTTGCGTTGATATATCCGTGTTGTGTCCATCTATCGTTGAGAAGGTCCAACCTGTGTTAATGTATCCGTGTTGTGTCCATCTATCGTTTGAGAAGGTCCAGTCTGTGTTAATGTATCCGTGTTGTGTCTATCTATCGTTGAGAAGGTCCAGCTTGTGTTATTGTATCCGTGTTTGTGTCCATCAATCGTTGAGAAGGTCCAGCCTGTTTAATGTATCCGTGTTGTGTCCATCTATCGTTGAGAAAGTCCAGCCTGTGTTAACATATTCGTGTTGTGTCCATCTATCGTTGAGAAGGTCCAGCCTGTTTTAATATACCCGTGCTGTGCCCATCAATCGTTGAGGAAGTCCAACCTGTGTGAATATAGTCGTGTTGTGTCCATCTATCGTTGCAAAGGTCAAGTCTGTGTTAATGTATCCGTGTTGTGTCCATCTATCGTTATGAAGGTCCAGCTTGTGCTAATGTATCCGTGTTGTATTCATCTATCGTTGTGGAGGTCAAGCGTGTTTATGTATCCGTGTTGTGTCATCTATCGTTGAGAAGGTCCAGCCTGTGTGATTGTATCCGTGTTTGTGTCCATCTATCGTTAAAAAGGTCCAGCGTGTGTTAATGCATCCGTGTTGTGTCCATCTATCGTTGAGAAACTCCAGCCTGTGTTAATGTATCCGTGTTGTGTCCATCTATCGTTGAGAAGGTCCAGCCTGTGTTAACATATTCGTGCTGTGTCCATCTATCGTTGAGAAGGTCCAACCTGTGTATATATACCCATGCTCTGTCCATCAATCGTTGAGGAAGTCCAACCTGTGTTTATATAGTCGTGTTGTGTCCATCTATCGTTGAGTAGGTCCAGCTTGTGTTTATGTATCCGTGTTGTGTCCATCTATCGTTGAGAAGGTCCAGCTTGTGTTTATGTATCCGTGTTGTGTCCATCTATCGTTGAGAAGGTCCAGCTAGTGTTTATGTATCCGTGTTGTATCCATCTATCGCTGAGAAGGTCCAGCTAGTGTTTATGTATCCGTGTTGTGTCCATCTATCGCTGAGAAGGTCCAGCTAGTGTTTATGTATCCGTGTTGTGGCCATCTATCGTTGAGAAAGTCCAACCTGTGTTGAAATACCCGTGCTGTGCCCATCAATCGTTGATTAAGTCCAACCTGTGTTTATATAGTCGTGTTGTTTCCATCCATCGTTGAGAAGGTCCAGCTAGTGTTTATGTATCCGTGTTGTGTCCATCTATCGCTGAGAAGGTCCAGCTAGTGTTTATGTATCCGTGTTGTGTCCATCTATCGCTGAGAAGGTCCAGCTAGTGTTTATGTATCCGTGTTGTGGCCATCTATCGTTGAGAAAGTCCAACCTGTGTTGAAATACCCGTGCTGTGCCCATCAATCGTTGATTAAGTCCAACCTGTGTTTATATAGTCGTGTTGTTTCCATCCATCGTTGAGAAGGTCCAGCTTGTGTTAATGTATCCGTGTTGTGTCCATCTATCGTTGAGAAAGTGCAACCTGTGTTGAAATACCCGTGCTGTGCCCATCAATCGTTGATTAAGTCCAACCTGTGTTAACATATTCGTGCTGTGTCCATCTATCGTTGAGAAGGTCCAGCTTGTGTTAATGTATCCGTGTTGTGTCCATCTATCGTTGAGACGGTCCAACCTGTGTTAATATGTCCGTGTTGTGTCCATGTATCGTTGAGAAGGTCCAGCTTGTGTTAATGCATCCGTGTTGTGTCCATGTATCGTTGAGAAAGTCCAGCCTGTGTTAATATATTCGTGTTGTGTCCATCTATCGTTGAGAAAGTCCAGCCTGTGTTAATGTATTCGTGTTGTGTCCATCTATCGTTGAGAAAGTCCAGCCTGTGTTAATATATTCGTGTTGTGTCCATCTATCGTCGATGAAGCCCAGTCTGTGTTGATATGTCCTTGTTGTGTCCATCTGTCATTGAGAAAATCCAGTTGTTCATCGAGATTATATTAGGCATACTAGCAAAGTTATCGGTAAAGAGTTCCGCCAGAATTCGGTCCGCCAGAATTGACTGTGCTGGCATTCTCTCTTCTCGCAGAGGCTCAGAAAGTGTCAGCCCACTTTCTGTATGTGTCCCCCGTCAGTATATTTCAGGGTGCCCCTTGATACAAATACAGCGCTGTAGCTGTAGCTAAACCACGCATCAGAGGTACATATATACCAATATGAAAACACCAATTGTTTCTCATGAGACTCTTTTGTATGTCGTTTCATTTAAGGAACTTACTGCTGCGTAAAGGTTAATTATTCCAATGTTGGTTCTTGTAATTTTAAGATCACGGAAACACGAATAAGAGAAACACTCTTCTCGGGTAATACAAAGGACAAAAGATGTTTCAATGCGGTAATTTTCAATTGCAGGTGAACAATGATGGCTCTGTGACATTCCTTAAGGCCGAAACATTTCAGAATACGATCGATGACCCCGGAGACACTCCAGCAGTGTGCGCTCTTTGCTGTGACATAGATGTATCCGGGGGTGGAACCGTCTATTACGTCATCAATACCTCGCTAGCATTACGACAAACTATAGCAGATGACGTAAGGCGATACCAAGAATACCCGGCAGACTATACTCCAACCTGGGTGCTGCTGGCGACGTGGGCTGACGTCACTACATTTCGCACAATCGACAACAAGGCAAGCTGTTTAAGAGTGTGTATGTGTACATCACATACCTGTGCTTTTCTGCTTGGTAGGAGAGATCTGCGCGTGAGGTGGTTCTAAGAAGTTGTTATCTATGCGGTGAAAACCTGGAAACATTAATTAATCGAACAGAAATCACACGTATTCGGCATGCCCAGAGGATGCAACTGTGCACGGCAAATTGAGTCGACTTTAACAACTTCACCGTGTACACGACAATTTAAGGGGCGGTTGGGTAGTCTAGTGGTTAAAGTGTTCGCACCCAAAGCCCGGGTTCGATTCCCAGCATGGGTGCAATTTTGAGAAAACCATTTCTGGTGTCCCCCGCCGTGAAATTGCTGGAATATTGCTAAAAGCGGCGTAAAACCATACTCATTCACTCACCATGAAAATGTTCATTTCCATACAGTACTCGGCGATTTCATGTACAATTTGCTGGGTGAGAACGGCCGGCAATAATGAGCGCTGGATGGCCCATGAGGACGTTTGGATATAACACACTTAAAACGCTGTAGCCAGTCTTATGTGTGACCTGTTGATAAATTTCGAGGAATTGCTGAGTACCGGTGTAACTGGTAGCAGATCGAATAGTTACTGGTTGCCATTAATATATCTGTGAACCGCTGAATGATCACTTGTATTCTTTTTTTTCTGTTGCTTTAGGTCGACACATTCCAGATCACAATGGCCACGGATGGTGCGGCATCAGTTGTGATATTGTTCTATGAAAGATTGGAATGGGTTTATGATAATTCTGATTTTGCCGCAGTGTATTACCGTACAGAACCTACTATCCGTACACAGGTATGCTGGTGTTGTTTTAAAACATAACATAGTTGTTACATAACCATGTAGGAACCGCGGTCCAATATTAAATATGGATTATTATTATCACTATTCTTGTGAGGGAGAGAGTTCGTTCACCGTTTGTAAGTTTAATATGGGAAAAAAGCTGAGAACTAGCTGTGTAATATTCTCTCTGACAGTGCCTGAACCATATTAATCTCTCTTCCGCCCACCCTCTTCTGTACAAGAGCCCCAAATTAAAAAAACGTAGATATTCCTCTGAATGTCCTTGTTAATATAAATGTAGTTATTTGTATACATCACAATTTGTAGAGATTAAGCATTAATCTTGTTATATCAGTTATTTATATACGTTTGCTTAAGTCCATTAGCATGAGTTCATTGCCAAGTGGTATTATGGTCTGTCTGGGGGATTTGAACCCACGACTAGAGCATCCTGGCGCGACTATTTCAAGTTCCTCATCACATCGAACTGCAGTGCCAAAAGACTGTCCACTAGATGCTGTTCTGGGCAGCAAAGCATATTGTAACACATTCCTCGCAACGCGGAAGACTCGGGCTCAATATGTCAGGCTACAATGATTGTCTCCCTTCGTGACAGTGCTTGATAATGGCGACCCTCTATACTGACGCATTGATCAGCATGAGGCGGGAGGGCGGGAGGAGCAGGGGAGGGGAGGGGAGGGTTACAGCTGTTGAACAACACAGTTAGCTGTACACACTTTATGTAAATATACATCTTGAAACAGATACAACAATTTTGGTATTGTTAGTAAAGTCCCACCCACAAGGAATAAACTGATGTGTTAAGTCGCTTCTTACAGGTACCATACCGTTGACCAATTGTATCCAAAGTTCAAAGCATCATGGTTGACATCGAAATGCCAACAAGCAGTTTGGAATATGAAATCCAAATTCCACGTTAGGATGTATCAAAGCTCGATGTCCTGGGTGTTCTTGCAGCCATATTATCATCAATCGGTAACCTTCATCCCGACTTCATGACATTTCCTCTATTACGTCAAATGGCGAAAGGACAATACAGTTAAATGGTTTGTCGTTTCTGATTGTATTAAACAGCCACTAAAGGAAGATTATATATCACCCCACTATAAACCTTCTATAGTCCAACTGTATATGTCCACTAATTGTGTTTAGAGCGCGCTCATGGCCGGGGATGGGGTGAGGTCTTACCAACTGCCGGGATCCAAATCTGATGAACTCATCAACATAACTCAACTGTCTAACGTTGGTGTTGCTGGCAAATTCATCTTCCGAGTTGACGATAACATCGTTCCCGTATCCCTCCGTGCCACCACAAGTAAGTTTACAGTTGTTGGCATTTCCTTCTGCTTCGTAATTTCATTTTATTACACATTCGATATGGTCCAAGTTTAATTGTCTTCACACAGAACAGCCCATTCGAGTGAGTGAGTTTAGTTTTACACCACACCCAGCAATATTTCAGCTATATGGCGGCGGTCTGTAAATAATCGAGTCTGAACCAGACAAGCCAGTGATCAACAGCAGGAGCATCGATCTACGCAATTGGGAACTGATGACATGTGTCAACAAGTCAGCGAGCCTGACCACCCGATCCCGTTAGTCGCCTCTTACCACAAGCATGGGTTACTGAAGATCAATATTCTAATCCGGATCTTCACGGCTGAGCCGATTCGAGCACCTGCGGGTTTACCCTAAAGTGTGGGAGTGAATGGGTGGGATGTTACCCCTCTTAGATCTAATCCTGCACTTTCATCTAGAACTGGACTTCAGTGTGGTAGCATCATCGCAGTATGCTCCAGGCTACCACGTCTCCTCTGTCTGTGACAGAAACAGAAATGTGCTTCTTGAGAGATCAGGTAGTTATAGGTAATGTAATCATACACTTGACAGGAAACTGTTCTACTTATTACGATGACGAAGGCCTTTCAAAGTTGACAGGACTATCATGGTATTTGGTCTTTTATGCCAAACAGCATCCGTGCTCTTAATCAAGGCAGTTTATAAATTCACCCTTCTAAAGTTCCTAATCTTCACTAAATGAATTTCTGTTGATATATGTCTAACACCTGGGTTTTGTTTGCAGAGGTCCATGTTTTTATGTGCATGACTATGCGTATCTATGATTGGTTGTGCTATCGGTTTGTGCATGTATTTTAGAGATGCATGTTTTCCGTGTAACCATGTCCCTCTTACCATGGAAACTATATACTACTCACACTTTGCTAGGTTCACAAACATTCACAACTTTACTTAAACGTAGATTCATAATTTGAAATTGTATCCATTTAAAACTGGATAAATTTTAATATGGTAACCCCTCTTTAGGCAAATAGTCACTTTAATCTAACCTTATGCACCTGATACATGAATAACCATAAAAAATGGTTTTCATGGCACCAGTCAGCCATTTGCAAGTCATGGAACGAGTCATTGACAAGTACACAACACCTGTCAATAGCAGGTATGGGTTCCACAAGATGAAATGACATACTGAAACGTAGGATCCATGCTTACAATAAGCTTAGATATTTAAACCAATTTTGACCCCATATCATAGTTTTCTGTTGAATCCATGATTTGATCCTTAGCAAAGTGTGAATAGTAGATATATAAATTCCTTCGAGACAATGCAGTAAACTACCAGGCAAAGGAAAGTTACTTGACGTTACTTGACGTTTGTGAGATTTATAATAATTATTTTTGCAAACAAAAATAATTTTCCAATAATTTGACTGAAAATTCATTGTAATACTGGTCTTGCATTTGCCGCAATTCAGTAAGAAAGAGTCAAGTGGTTACAAATTAAAAATCAGAGTTCATTCAAAAAGTACAAGTCATAAAGAATCACATAATGAGACAGGAGTCAGGGGACACGTCGTCAATAGCGAGTGTGACCACCCGTGGCATCCATACACGCCAACACACGTCTCCTCATTGACTGTGTCTGTCGACGGATGACGTCAGCAGGAATCCTGTTTCATAAGTCCAACAGATCCTGTTTAAAAAGTTCCTGCCGGTTTGCCTGAAATTGTTGCTATACCGTTAATCTCACTGACTTCATCATCACACTGTTATTTTTCAACGCTAATCCTATCTAATTTGCTTCGTATTATGTTTTTATCTTTGTACATTAACACACATACACACTCCCACACACACTCCCATTTTTGACCTCGTCGTTACAATATAAAAATACTGTTACCTTTGTACATTAATCCTATCTAACTGGCTTCGTGATTATATTGTTATGTTATCCATAAAAAATGTGTCATGTACGTCCAACTTCTAAATGCCTTTCAAGAACTAATTTCTCATTTTGACAAGTCTTACTTACCGTTCCCTCGCCCATCGCCATACCCTCCACTCCGCACGTTTCTATTACAAGGCTTCAAAACAAATGTCCATGGTTTCAGGTGCTGTACAGAGTACTGCTACACCAACCACAACAACAGCCGCCGATAACACTGCATCAGCGACAACAACGTCACCGACGTCTACATCAACGCCACGTTCAGGTGCTACAACACTATACACGTTACCTTTTCTTTCTAAAGTTGTGAAAACATTTGTGTTTGTATCTTTAGTGATTATATTGTAAAGTTTGTAAAGTACTAGCAGCCTTCATATCTACTAATAATGATGATGATGATGACCTAGGTCATTATGTTATTACACTGATTAGTTTCGTAGGAGGAAATGTGGTTTAGTTATGACACACACAGTAAACACTCGTTTAGTCGAACCTCAACATTGTGTCGTTTTTATATATCAACCGAAACTAGCATCATGGTTATTTAATCTTTGAAAACAACTGGATAATTGTTACATTGCTATTTTCGATCTAGATCGCTAATTACATGACGCATATGGGGTGTGATGACGGACTACCCGCAGCGGTATCAATATCACAGGCCTTCCCGCCACAGATTGCAACATATCTGAAAACCGTCATCGAAAGTTTTAATTAATCCAATTTGATTGAAATCAAGCTCAAACATAACATTTGGAACATTATGTTACATTGTCCACAATCCACGTTTTCGACGTGTCATACATTCATGCATGATGAGTTTATTGTACCTTACACACATAATCGTACCTAATGAATTTTGAAAAAATGTTTGAAGTGTTTAACGTCTGAATCAAATACTTCAATGTCAGATACAACATCGGTAACAGAGACCTCCACGTCAGATACAACATCGGTAACAGAGACCTCAACGTCAGATACAGCATCGGTAACAGAGACCTCCACGTCAGATACAACGTCAGTGACAGAGACTTCCACCCCAGAGACAACATCGGTAACAGAGACTTCCACCCCAGAGACAACATCAGTAACAGAGACCTCCACGTCAGATACAACGTCAGTAACAGAGACATCCACATCAGATACATCAGAAACAGAGGCGTCCACGTCAGATTCAACATCAGTAACACAGACGTCCACGTCAGATACAACGTCAGTAACAGAGGCCTCCTCGTCAGATACAACATCGATAACAGAGATCTCCACGTCAGATACAACATCAGTAACAGAGACTTCCACCCTAAAGACAACATCGGTAACAGATACCTCCTCGTCAGATACTACATCAGTAACAGAGACGTCCACGTCAGATACAACGTCAGTAACAGAGACATCCATGTCAGATACAGCATCAGTAACAGAGATCTCCACGTCAGATTCAACATCAGTAACAGAGACTTCCACCCCAGAGACAACATCGGTAACAGAGACCTCTACGTCAGATACAACATCAGTAACACAGACGTCCACGTCAGATACAACGTCAGTAACAGAGGCCTCCTCGTCAGATACAACATCGATAACAGAGATCTCCACGTCAGATACAACATCAGTAACAGAGACTTCCACCCTAAATACAACATCGGAAACAGAGACATCCACGTCAGATACAACATCAGTAACAGAGACGTCCACGTCAGATACAACATCAGTAACAGAGACGTCCACGTCAGATACAACATCAGTAACAGAGACGTCCACGTCAGATACAACGTCAGTAACAGAGACATCCACGTCAGATACAGCATCGGTAACAGAGACTTCCACCCCAGAGACAACATCAGTAACAGAGACCTCCACGTCAGATACAACGTCAGTAACAGAGACATCCACATCAGATACATCAGAAACCGAGGCGTCCGCGTCAGATTCAACATCAGTAACACAGACGTCCACGTCAGATACAACGTCAGTAACAGAGGCCTCCTCGTCAGATACAACATCGATAACAGAGATCTCCACGTCAGATACAACATCAGTAACAGAGACTTCCACCCTAAAGACAACATCGGTAACAGATACCTCCTCGTCAGATACTACATCAGTAACAGAGACGTCCACGTCAGATACAACGTCAGTAACACAGACATCCATGTCAGATACAGCATCAGTAACAGAGATCTCCACGTCAGATTCAACATCACTAACAGAGACTTCCACCCCAGAGACAACATCGGTAACAAAGACCTCAACGTCAGATACAACATCAGTAACAGAGACATCCACCCCAGAGACAACATCGGTAACAGAGACCTCTACGTCAGATACAACATCAGTAACACAGACGTCCACGTCAGATACAACGTCAGTAACAGAGTCCTCCTCGTCAGATACAATATCGATAACAGAGATCTCCACGTCAGATACAACATCAGTAACAGAGATTTCCACCCTAAATACAACATCAGTAACAGAGACGTCCATGTCAGATACAACATCAGTAACAGAGACGTCCACGTCGTCCACATCAGTAACAGAGACATCCACGTCAGATACAACGTCAGTAACAGAGACATCCACGTCAGATACAGCATCGGTAACAGAGATCTCCACGTCAGATTCAACATCAGTAACAGAGACTTCCACCCCAGAGACAACATCAGTAACAGAGACCTCAACGTCAGATACAACATCAGTAACAGAGACTTCCACCCCAGAGACAACATCGGCAACAGAGACCTCAACGTCAGATACAACATCAGTAACAGAGACTTCCATCCCAGAGACAACATCAGTAACAGAGACCTCTACGTCAGATACAACATCAGTAACAGAGACTTCCACCCCAGAGACAACATCGGTAACAGAGACCTCTACGTCAGATACTACATCAGTAACAGAGACGTCCACGTCAGATACAACGTCAGTAACAGAGACATCCATGTCAGATACAGCATCAGTAACAGAGATCTCAACGTCAGATTCAACATCAGTAACAGAGACTTCCACCCCAGAGACAACATCGGTAACAGAGACCTCTACGTCAGATACAACATCAGTAACACAGACGTCCACGTCAGATACAACGTCAGTAACAGAGGCCTCCTCGTCAGATACAACATCGATAACAGAGATCTCCACGTCAGATACAACATCAGTAACAGAGACTTCAACCCTAAATACAACATCGGAAACAGAGACATCCACGTCAGATACAACATCAGTAACAGAGACGTCCACGTCAGATACAACATCAGTAACAGAGACGTCCACGTCAGATACAACATCAGTAACAGAGACGTCCACGTCAGATACAACGTCAGTAACAGAGACATCCACGTCAGATACAGCATCGGTAACAGAGACTTCCACCCCAGAGACAACATCAGTAACAGAGACCTCCACGTCAGATACAACGTCAGTAACAGAGACATCCACATCAGATACATCAGAAACAGAGGCGTCCACGTCAGATTCAACATCAGTAACACAGACGTCCACGTCAGATACAACGTCAGTAACAGAGGCCTCCTCGTCAGATACAACATCGATAACAGAGATCTCCACGTCAGATACAACATCAGTAACAGAGACTTCCACCCTAAAGACAACATCGGTAACAGATACCTCCTCGTCAGATACTACATCAGTAACAGAGACGTCCACGTCAGATACAACGTCAGTAACAGAGACATCCATGTCAGATACAGCATCAGTAACAGAGATCTCCACGTCAGATTCAACATCAGTAACAGAGACTTCCACCCCAGAGACAACATCGGTAACAAAGACCTCAACGTCAGATACAACATCAGTAGCAGAGACATCCACCCCAGAGACAACATCGGTAACAGAGACCTCTACGTCAGATACAACATCAGTAACACAGACGTCCACGTCAGATACAACGTCAGTAACAGAGGCCTCCTCGTCAGATACAACATCGATAACAGAGATCTCCACGTCAGATACAACATCAGTAACAGAGACTTCCACCCTAAATACAACATCGGAATCAGAGACATCCACGTCAGATACAACATCAGTAACAGAGACGTCCATGTCAGATACAACATCAGTAACAGAGACGTCCACGTCAGATACAACATCAGTAACAGAGACATCCACGTCAGATACAACGTCAGTAACAGAGACATCCACGTCAGATACAGCATCGGTAACAGAGATCTCCACGTCAGATTCAACATCAGTAACAGAGACTTCCACCCCAGAGACAACATCAGTAACAGAGACGTCAACGTCAGATACAACATCAGTAACAGAGACTTCCACCCCAGAGACAACATCGGCAACAGAGACCTCAACGTCAGCTACAACATCAGTAACAGAGACTTCCATCCCAGAGACAACATCGGTAACAGAGACCTCAACGTCAGATACAACATCAGTAACAGAGACGTCCACCCCAGAGACAACATCAGTACCAGAGACGTCCACGTCAGATACAACATCAGTAACAGAGACGTCCACGTCAGATACAACATCAGTAACAGAGACATCCACGTCAGATACAACATCAGTAACACAGACGTCCACGTCAGATACAACGTCAGTAACAGAGACATCCACGTCAGATACAGCATCGGTAACAGAGACCTCCACGTCAGATTCAACATCAGTAACAGAGACCACCACGTCAGATTCAACATCAGTAACAGAGACCTCTACGTCAGATACAGCATCAGTAACACAGACGTCCACGTCAGATACAACGTCAGTAACAGAGGCCTCCTCGTCAGATACAACATCGATAACAGAGGTCTACACGTCAGATACAACATCAGTAACCGAGACTTCCACCCTAAATACAACATCGGTAACAGAGACCTCCACGTCAGGTACAGCATCAGTAACAGAGACTTCCACCCTAAATACAACATCGGAAACAGAGACCTCCACGTCAGATACAACATCAGTAACAGAGACCTCCACGTCAGATACAACATCAGTAACACAGACGTCCACGTCAGATACAACATCAGTAACACAGACGTCCACGTTAGATACAACGTCAGTAACAGAGGGCTCCACATCAGATGCAACATCGATAACAGAGATCTCCACGTCAGATACAACGTTAGTAACAGAGACTTCCACCCTAGAGACAACATCGGTAACAGAGACCTTAACGTCAGATACAACATCAGTAATTCAGACGTCCACGTCAGATACAACATCGGTAACAGAGATGTCCACATCAGATACAACGTCAGTAACAGAGACCTCCACGTCAGATACAACATCAGTAACAGAGATCTCCACGTCAGATACAACATCAGTAACAGAGACTTCCACCCTAGAGACAACATCGGTAATAGAGACCTCCACGTCAAATACAACATCAGTAACAGAGACGTCCACGTCAGATACAGCATCAGTAACAGAGACTTCCACCCTAAATACAACATCGAAAACAGAGACCTCCACGTCAGATACAACATCAGTAACAGAGACATCCACGTCAGATACAACATCAGTAACACAGACGTCCACGTCAGATACAACATCAGTAACACAGACGTCCACGTTAGATACAACGTCAGTAACAGAGGGCTCCACATCAGATGCAACATCGATAACAGAGATCTCCACGTCAGATACAACGTCAGTAACAGAGACTTCCACCCTAGAGACAACATCGGTAACAGAGACCTTAACGTCAGATACAACATCAGTAATTCAGACGTCCACGTCAGATACAACATCGGTAACAGAGATGTCCACATCAGATACAACGTCAGTAACAGAGGCCTCCACGTCAGATACAACATCAGTAACAGAGACGTCCACGTCAGATACTACATCGGTAACAGAGACGTCCACGTCAGATACAACATCAGTAACAGAGACCTCCACGTCAGATACAACGTCAGTAACAGAGACATCCACATCAGATACATCAGAAACAGAGGCCTCCACGTCAGATTCAACATCAGTAGCAGAAACGTCAACGTCAGATTCAACAGCAGTAACAGAGACGTCAACGTCAGATACAATATCACTAACAGAGACCACCACGATAGAGACAACATCAGTAACACAGACGTCCGCGTCAGATACAACATCAATAACAGAGATGTCCACGTCTGTTACATCTGCAACTGACACTTCCACGTTAGAGGCAACATCGGTAACAGACACCTCCACGCCAGATACATCTGCAATAGAGACCTCCACGCCAGATACAACATCACTAACAGATACCTCCACATCAGACACAACATCAGTAACAGAGGCCACGTCAGATACATCTGGAACTAGCACTTCCATGTTAGAGACAATATCGATAACAGAGAAGTCCACGTCAGATAGAACATCAATAACAGAGACCTCCACGCCAGATACCACTTCAGGAAGAGAGATTTCCACGTCAGATACAACATCGGTAACAGAGATGACCACATCAGATACATCTGTAACAGAGGCCTCAACGTCAGATGCAACATCAGAAACAGAGACCACCGTGTCAGATGCAACATCAGTAACAGAGACCTCTACGTCAGATGCAACAGTTACAGACACCTCAATGTCAGATGCAACATCAGTAACAGAGACCACAGCGTCAGATGCAACTTCAGTAACAGAGACATCCACGTCAAATACAACATCGGTAACAGTGACCTCCACGTCAGATACAACGTCAGTAACAGAGACATCCACTTCAGACACATCAGAAACAGAGGCGTCCACGTCAGATGCAACATCTGTAACAGAGACCTCAACATCAGATACAACATCGATAACAGGGACCTCTACGTCAGATACGACATCGGCAACAGAGGCGTCCACGTCAGATACATCTGAAACAGACATTTCCACGTTAAAGACAACATCAGTAACAGAGACCTCCACGTCAGATGCAACATCAGTAACAGAGACCTCCACGTCATATGCAACTTCAGTAACAGAGACCTCTACGTCAGATACGACATCGGCAACAGAGCTGTCCACGTCAGATACAGATACATCTGGAACAGACATTTCCACGTTAAAGACAACATCAGTAACAGAGATGTCCACGTCAGATACATCTGCAACTGACACTTTCACGTTAGAGACAACATCAGTAACAGAGATGTCCACGTCAGATACATCTGCAACTGACACTTCCACGTTAGAGACAACATCGGTAACAGAGACATCCACGACAGATACAACATCGATAACAGAGACCTCCACGTCAAATGCAACTTCAGTAAAAGAGACCTCTACGTCAGATACGACATCGATAACAGAGACGTCCACATCAGATACAACATCGGTAACAGAGACTTCCACGCCAGATGCAACTTCAGTAACAGAGACCTCTACGTCAGATACGACATCGGTTACAGAGACTTCCACGCCAGATGCAACTTCAGTAACAGAGATGTTCACGTCAGATACATCTGCAACTGACACTTCCACGTTACAGACAACATCGGAAACAGAGACATCCACGTCAGATACAACATCAATAACAGACACTTCCACGTCAGATACAACATCGGTAACAGAGACCTCTACGCCAGATACATCTACAATAGAGACCTCAACGTCACATACGACGTCGGTAATACAAATGTCCACGTCAGATACAACATTGAAAACAGATACCCCCACGTCAGATATAACATCAGTAGCAGAAACGTCAACGTCAGATATAACATCAGTAACAGAAACGTCAACGTCAGATATGACATCAGTAACAGAAACGTTAACGTCATATACATCTGCAACAGAGACTTCCACGTTAGAGACAACATCGGTAACAGAGGCATCCACGTCCGATACAACATCGGTAACAGATACCTCTACACCAGATACAACATCGGTTAGAGGAGCATCCACGTCAGATACAACCGCAGTTACAGAGACGTCCACGTCAGATACATTTGCAACAAAGACTACCACGTTAGAGACAACATCGATAACAGAGACCTCCACGTCAAATTCAGCATTTGTTTTAGAGACGTCAGCGTCAGATACGTATACAGAAACAGAAACGTATACTACAAACGCAACTTCAGTAACAGAGGCCTCCACGTCAGATACAACATCTGTAATAGAAATCTCCACGTCAGATACGACATCTGTAATAGAAACCTCCATGTCAGATACAATTACATCGGGTCCAGGATCACCTACATCTGCTTTTTCGTCATATGTAACGTCAACTACATTTGCTTCATTACCCGGCATAGCGTCAACAACACTTACTTTGTCGTCCGATCAAACATCGACTACACCTGTTTCATCATCGGATACAATCTCTGCTACACCCGCTTCTTCATCGGATCTGCATCGTCTACAGCTCTCCATCGTTGGGTTTAAAGTCAACTGCACCTGATTTTTCATCAGCATCTGTCTCTCCGGATGTTGATGCAACGAGTGAAACTAACGAGAGATCTCAGAGTTCGACATCCATTCCATCATCCACATTGTCAGTTGTAACCCCACATCTAGTTGGAGCGGTTTTGGCAGTTATTATTCTGGTGGCGGTTGGAGTGTTGCAGATCGTCCTGTCGTTACAATTCATACAGACACTCAGGGAAGGGTTTCAACGTCGAGGACAGCGAAGACCTGGAGGAGAGCGACGGAAAAGCATACCAGTACAGATTGTGACGTCAAGCCCTTGGTTCCAACAAACTTCACCGTATGGCAAACCACTGAAGTAGCACAAACGTATATCTGCGCCGATACTCATTTTTGGCACAGCACTGGACAAGCTGAAACAAAGCCACCACTCGCACATCCAACAGGTCACGGTTAACACGAATCTATGTGTGATCGTTCAGGTGAAAATCAGAGAGACCACGTGACAACCTGAATCGCATCCTCCACGTAAACAAGAACAATTAGCGTACCAGGTCACAGCATGAATCTCAGTGTCGACGTCCATGAGCTTATCCAGCATCGGACAAACACCAGTACCATACTCAACGTCCATGTCCAACAGATTGGAACCGTTGGGGAGGACAAGACACTGGACGCAAGACGTCACTAACACATCGGCTTCACATTCTCTGGGAACTGGCATGTACGTCCTCTTTTGCCATAACACCAATAGCGAGCAAGACATATCAGCAGAAATATTGCTTCCATGAACTCTTTGTCTTGCATGCTCTGACAGCATGGCATGGAATATGCCATGTATGTGTGGGACGAAATGAACGTCCGGTATTTATATGTTACCAACACTCTTATTAGATGTGTTGTAAGTTATTAAATTATAGATATTCCCGCATCCAGTTTCTATCTATTTTCGAGTTTATCCTTTTTGTGTTAAACTTATTTATTGATACATACAACCTGAGTGTTATGGAAATCATCTCAACATCGTCTATAATCCGTACTATCAACAGTCTACTTACACGTATACCAAAATGTCAACATGAATCTCAATCTTCTATGGGTGAAAACACAAGTAAGAAGCAGTTTGGTGATCATGTGATTTTGGTTGGTTGAATGTGACTACTTTACACTCGTGTTCCAATACCAGTTGTATTAAACTATTTTATATGACGTTTTATTTTGCAGTGTGTTTAAGCATTTTAAATATTGAGTCGATAAATGTCATGACCAAAATGTTATGGTTTACAAGAAGGAAAGAGCGTAAACTGCGATTCTACTTGCCAAGGTAAACCTACCAACCAACTTTATATCTTTAGTTCCCACATTTCTGTGAAAACATGGCTGTGAGCTATTCACGTACCTCGATGTACACTCTGTGTTGTATTATGAGTATATGTTTACATTCTGTGTTGTGTTATTAGTATTTACATGTACATAACATTGCGTAGAAATAGTCTTTGTATGGACCTCATGGTGTAGATCTCACAACATGAAGGCCTTGTAGTTTATCCACTATTAGGTATGGAAGGGACTCGCTATATACACCTTCGAAAAATATGTCACGATTTTGTGTAATTTATTTTTTAAAGATATGTGATACAGAAATTCTTTGTGTGAACAGTGTGAACAGTATGTTATCCGCTTGTCTTTTGTGTCAACAATCAAGACACCATGACGAATCGATATTCTGAACAAATCCAACCATATCGCTCAAGGAAAGCAACCACGTGTTGACCTGTATATTTCATAACAATAATTGATAATAATAGAATAAAATACCTAAGATATTTGATTGGGGAAGACTGATAATCAGTTGGTGTGTTAAAGATATTCAGCTTATGTTGAAAGACATGCAAGAAAGTTCAGTAGATGTTGGAAGATACTATTCAGGCGATATCGAAAGATGTAGAAGATCTGTATGATTATTCAGTTTATACGGGAAGATGTGCAAGCATATTCAGTTGATGTTATAACATGTGCAAGCATATTCAGTTTATGTTATAAGATATGCAAGAATATTCAGGCGTCTAAAGATAGTTATATTGATATTTAGTTCATATGGAATGATATGCCTGAATATTTTAGTTTATGTGGGCAGATGTGCAAGAATATTCAGTTCATGCTATAAGAAGAATCAAGAATACTCAGGGGATGTGGAAAGACATGCAAGAACAACTTAGTGACATTGGAGTAGAGATACGTATATCTACCAACGTTGAGCATGTGGCTGTTTGTCTTCATTCTTCCATTTGATGTGTTAAAATTTTGTCATGACTTCAAAAGCAAATTGGAATCGAATAATGCCGACGTGACTTAAAGCTCAAATCAACTCAGAAGCTACTGTACTTGCATACGTCCAATCCTTGGAAAGCTTTTAGAACAAGAATATGTAAAAGTTAATTTCAAAATTTGGTTTTTAGAGTGTTCACTACAGTGAACAGTACTTATGGAAACGATATGCCCCAAAACTGCTATGTTTATATTATCCATTACTATAATTAGGCTTCGTAAGGAAGGATAATCTCCAGTCATCCTTATTATGCCGTAATTGTGTTTTTTGTACTGTAGTTGTATACCTTGGTTATCAACATGTGGGTTATCCGAGACTTACTCCACGCTTACAGGCGATCCACTTAAACTTGCATTGGTCTCTGTAAATAGCTAAACTGGACTGTGATCTCTTATATATATTGTGTGTTTATTTGATGACAATTCTTATTCTCTATTGTTATAAACCCCAGTGACGTTACTCTACCAATAGCCAAACAGGTGGAACCGTATAAACTTGAGTAGTAATTGTTCAACCCTTGAGATTTTACATTTAACTGTTCAGGTGGTATCAAACGTGTGAATGCGCCTCACTACAGATTCGTTTAGAGCGCAATGTGTCGAAATGTCCGGAACAGATATGTAATCAATGTAAGATCAAATGACATGAAATGAAATGTTTTCTGTATATCCCAGATAGAACAGCCATCCTTCATATCCGACAAATAACAGTGCTTTAAATCTCGTTTTCTCATCCGACATAAAGACATATTTTACGCCCGTTTCCCATGGTTCATACAATGTTTCTTGGAAAGTCAAATTAATGGTTGTTTCACATAATGTTTTCCGTTGATGAGTGTCCAAAAGGACTGACGCACTCAGCTGTATCCCTCGGGTCCGAGTTTTAACGGCCCTTGTCCGTGTTTATGACACATGTATATTCCTTGTGAAATATTGCTCGCATGTTGTGCATATATATCTTGAGTTCACGTGGAGACACTGAGAGAGGGTCTAACGGAAACATGATATGCATATATTTATGTGTGTGCACGTTGTGTCCTGTTTATACAGCAACCTTGTGAGCACATTTACCACTATACTCATTTTGTTTGTTACATTTTTGTGCTTGTTTGTTCTATTTTCCAATTCTTGTTTGTTCAGTGTTGTTGTCAATTGTACATACATTTACAGGATGCTCAAGTCGTCGAAGTCAATAAAAAAGATTAAATATCGCAACCTTTTGTTTTTATATTTAGAATGATAATGGTGGTGGTGGTGGTAGAAGTAGTAGTGTAGTAGTAGTAGTAGTAGTAGTAGTAGTAGTAGAGTAGTAGTAGTAGTAGTAGTGAGTAGTAGTAGAGTAGTAGTAGTAGTAGTAGTAGTAGTAGTAGTAGTAGAAGTAGTAGTAGAAGTAGTAGTAGTAGTAGTAGAAGTAGTAGTAGTAGTAGAGTAGTAGTAGAAGTAGTAGTAGTAGTAGTAGAGGGGCGTGGGTAGCCTAATGGTTAAAGCGTTGGTCGTCACGTCGAAGACCCGGGTCTCGAATCTCACTACGGGCACAACAACGTGTTAAGCCCATTTCTGCGTCCCCGCCGTGATGTTGCTGAAATATTGCCAAAAGCCGGCGTAAAACCAAACCCAGTCAGTCAGTCAGTCAGCAGCAGAAGCAGTAGTAGTAGCAGTAGCAGTAGCAGTAGCGAAGTGGTGGTAGCAGCGCAGCAGTAGCAGTAGCAGAAGCCAGTAGCAGCAGAAGCAGTAGCAGCAGCAGCAGAAGCTAGTAGCAGTAGAAGCAGTAGCAGCAGCAGCAGTGGCAGTAATCAGTAGCAGTAGTAGTAGTAGCAGCCAGTAGTAGTGGTAGCATCAGTAGTAGTAGTAGTAGAAGCATTAGTAGAAGTAGTAGTAGTAGTAGTAGAAGCAGTTAGTAGTAGTAGTAGCGGAAGTAGAAGGTAGTAGAACAGTAGTGAGCAGTAGTAGTAGTAGTAGTAGAAGTAGTAGTAGTAGTAGTATCAGTAGTGGTAGTAGTACAAGCAGTAGTAGTAGAAGTAGTAGTAGTAGCTGAAGTAGTAGAGTGAGTGAGTGAGTTTAGTTTTACGCCGCACTCCAGCAATATTCCAGCTATATGGCGGCGGTCTGTAAATAATCGAGTCTGACCAGACAATCCAGTGATCAACAGCATGAGCATCGATCTGCGCAATTGGGAACCGATGACATGTGTCAAC